CATTCTCGCCTAGATGATGCACACTAGCTCTTATCTCGGCCTAGTGGTGGCCAACCTCGGTCTAGATGATTACATCAAATAGGCCAATCAGGGTGAAGGTGGAGGTCAACAAGTGGTTCCAAGATGGCTCTGGTGTAGAGGTTCAAAGTGTGAACTTAGCTTGGCATGACTAGGGCTTGAGACAGCAAATGAGGAACAAAGCATGCATACAGACACTTAGGCAATCACATAAGCACAAAACAAGACAGGACTTTTACCTAGGCAAACATGTCTAAGTCCTAAACAAATGCAAGCTTCAACAAGACGAAATCATGGCAAATGCACATGAACATAGCTAAGAAGACATGAATGTAGGTTATACAGTCTAACCCTCCCTTAAAGAAGTTTGTACCAAACTTAAAGTTACTTGCCCCAATAACAATTCTGAATGTTGGATTCCTCATCCTTTTAACCTCTTTGCTTTACCTTGGGACAATCCTAATATGATGCCCCATCTCACCGCACTCAAAGCATACCCCAGGATGCTGATGACACTCCAAAATGTTCAGCATCCCGCAACTTATGTACATGTCAGCCTGGTGCCACTTTCTGATTTGAGTTGCTTGAATTTCCCAACACCTTACCTCTTTTATTGACCATGTCCATATAGACGGTAGCTTGGCGATTGTTCATAATCTGCCTCTTTCTTTGATTCCTCCCCTGAACTTCTGGTATTTGTTCAAGTTAGCTTCTTGCAGGATGGCTTTTATCCTAACACTTAGCTGTATGTATAAGTCCGCATATTAGCATATTAACCCATTCTTGTATGTCCCCCGAGAGTCCACATCTCAAAACTTCCTAGCCTTTTCCCTGTACTCGTTATTGACCATATGAGGTGGCATACCTTGCCAACTCGGTGAAGAATCACGTCACATATTTCAGTCCAGCTGTTTTGCTAACCCTGTGTCAAGTTTGGAATTCTGTGGTCTTGCGATCTCGGACACTGAGGGGGAAAGTGTTGTCATAAAACAATCCAAAATTTGGCCACATGTCAAACCTGGATTGCCCTCAGATCATCACACCACGCTACGAGCATCGTCGTCTAGTGTGAATGCTGCCACTTGACACCTTCTGAGCGTGCGTGCTGGGAAGATCTCAAACAACTCTCCATCTCAAGAACCCATGTTCGCCTTTCCAAACTTGGTTCTATACCTCAATGGAATTCGTCGAATTCTCTTCTTGAATTCCTTTGATCAAAGTCAATGTCCATCCCCATACAAAGCTGGTTGCAAAGGCATTTGTGGTACTGGAGGAGGGTGGAGGCAGAACTGCAATGTCAGTCCCATCCGTCTGCTCAGCCTGATAGATGTAGTACTACGTGTTCCTAATTGCCTCTTGTTTGCCTCAACCTGGGCCAAACCTCTACCATATCCTTCTACTTTGTCTAATCCTGTCTCTGAATTGATCGTGGCCCACTGGACGGTCCTACCCCCGTCTCATGATGCTCAGAGGGTATGCAAAATGTACTCTTTAAAAACAAAATGAGCAATAGACATGTATGCATAATAAATGAATCATTGCCAAGGTGATGCATATCTTGTCAAGTAGGCAAGCAATATGATGCAATCTAATATCATTCTAAGGGAAAATCCTATGTTTTTTAATGACTCAAAGTGTGTGTGAATAACGTCTACAGGACAACCGTGTTTGCTCTGATACCTATTTGTCACGAACCCCATTCCACCCCTAGTGAATTGGTGCCGTGATACGCCAGTAATCCGGATTACCAAATGGCCAACTTACCAAGATTCACACATAATCAAAGTATACATATAAGGGCTTTACATGTGCGGAACAGCAATAACATTTTAACATCTAAGTAGTCCATAAGAGCTGTACCATAGATCAATGAAATGACAATACATCTTAACATGGTTTTACAACTGGTACAAATAAAATAAAGTACATATTATATTCTTGTCAAAAGGCTTTCAATCAACATATACAAAGAAGTGATTAAAAACTAAGAAACATTATTCTTCAGATGATTACAACATAATGCAAAAATCTGCACATAAATCTTAGGCCGTCAACTGCCTTCTCTTCGCCCACTACATAT